TCATTCTTGGGTGTCGGCCATTTGGCCTTTTCAACGCGTCCCCGCCACCATTGTTTTGTTCGGGGTTCAACCGAGGAGGACACCCTCGGCCGACGGTGGCGATGGCGGTGGCGGTGGCGTTGGCGGTGGCTAGCCAGACTGTGGCCGGTCAGGTGACAGGCGAGCCCTCGGCACAGGTAGGCTGAGGCGACGCCGGAGGAGGCATAGCCAGGCCGAGACGCTTCTATGTCACGGCGAGGTAGCGCGGCCGCAAGGAGCTAGGGCCGACAGGGAGATGTTGGGTCAGTCAGGTCGGAGCTGGGTCGGGCGAGGAGCCAGTTTTGTCCTTTTGGGCTGGGCTTAGATAATAGAAATAGGTTTGGGCCAGTTTTGTTCTTTTAAAAATAAATATATAAAAAGTGGGCTGGGCCTTCCATTTTAGTTCTTTTTTGGGGTTAGTCGGACTGGGCCCAGTAATGAGCCCAGTACAGTTGTGGACCGGGGCAGGGGCGCCTGGGTCGGGTCGGATGTAGAGATCCGACCCGGGTTTGTTTATATTATTATAATATTATAATATTTAAAAAAATTATAAAAATAAAAAAAATTGAAGTTGGGCTGTGGAATTATCTTTTCTCACTTTCTTATATGACAAATGCCATGCTTGATTGTACGATTGGTGGATTCGCATGTTTGAATTGCGTATTTAATTCAACCTTGCATGTGCCCGATTAAAGGCAAGTTAGGCCTTTGTTTGCGCACTTCTAATAGATTGATTGTCGTTTCCCTAGCCTAGTTAGGATTAGAACCTTAGGATTCACAATCAATAGGAAAACCGCACGAATACTTTTAGAAGTTGTTTGAACAAGGTTAAGTACCGAAATGACACTAGTTAGATAACTAGTGTAATCAAGTCTCCGAACTCATTTGAATTCCTTATTCGTAATAGTTCATAGGAGTAAGGCAATTCTCCCGTCGCCTTACTTGGGTTTCTAATCGACCCACCTTAAACTGATTAGTGGTTATTTCTAGATAAAAATTGATTTGTATGTTAATAATTTGAACCTTAAGTTGCAAGTTGGTATGGGCTTGAAAGAGCCCGAGTCAAGTCCTAAATTTAGACTCAGCAATCTATTAGCCTCTTAAACACCCTTGTCGGCCCGTATCGCGGGGAGGTCGCGACACTCTTCAACATTAAAAAGACTGACGAGACAATCAGACATTTCAGCCAAGTCAAAATTGTGCTTGTGGACTCGCCAACTTGCAAGTCTGGGACATTGAACTACTTTGAGGTCCCAATAATCGGCAAGCATTCCAAGCTTACAAAGAAAGAAATGTATATCACTACGATTTTGGTAAATGATACATTGAACCAAACCATTTCTATCGAATTATTACAATTAGTATTATGGGTTTGTACCTACCTAACTCCTAGGCAGTATGCCTGATGGATCATATGAAGCGAATGTTGTTAGGAGGGCGAAACGTAGAAGAGAAAAATCAAAGAAGACAAGAGAGTTTTTACGTGGAAAACCCTTTCAGAATCAGGATAGGAAAACCTTGGTGCTGCACTAGGAAATCTCTTCACTATCAATATTAGTACAAGTTTCAAGTATAAATTACAAGAGAAATTGCCCCAATATATAGCAAGACTCTAGGGCATATAAAGTTACGGTGAAAATTACATATATGCCCTTAGCAGCAGTATTTCCTCTCTATATTAATAGTATTTTTCTGTATCAACCTCCACAACTCCATCAATCTCCAACCTAGAGGCTGATTTTCAAAACGATAATAGTTTCTTATAGTCTTCACTCGTCTTAATAACCTAATTGTCCTAGTGCATGGACCATCCTCATCACTAACCATGGACGCCAACTGAGACAATATATAGACTCAATTTCTTAGTGGTAGAGGTGGCAAAATGGGTCTAAAACCCATATATAAATCCATATTTAATAGTGTGGGTCCTAAATGGGTTGCTTAACAACATAATGGGTCTTAAATGGATTTTAAATGGGTCACAAATAGGTTACCTAACTATCTTAAGTGAGTCGTATACAAATTTTTTGATTTAAAAAAAATATGATTTTTTATTTTCTTTTATTTACTTTTTTCTTCTACGAAATTATGCTAGGGCCGGCGACCCACCCTCACCAACACTAGGCAAAGGCCAACAACCCTTGCTGGCCACAAGACGAAGGCCACAAATTTTTTAATATTTTTTCTTTTTTTTCTTTTGTTTCTTTTCTTTTTCCTCATTCCTCCAGCAACGGCCACAGGCAAGACCGGTCGGCAACAGCCACAGGCGAGACCAAGCCTCACCGACCTTAAGCAAGCCTCGAGCTCTTCGGGATCTAGCCAGTTGCCGGGCCATCGGTCGTCAGCCAGTTGCCGTTGTTGTCAGTCACTAGGTGCCAGTCATCGGGTTGTCGGTCGTCGCCGGTTGCCAGTCATTGGCTAGATATCGGTCACCAGCGGTTGTCGATCGTTGCCCCGATTGACGAACGTTGGTCGTTGCTAATCGCGGGTTGTCGGTCAGTTGTTGGTCACAAGTTGCCAGTCGTCGGTTGTCACCAGACACCAGCCACCGCCGGTCTCTGCCAGTCATCAATCTTTGATTGCCAGTTATCAGTCATCGGTCATCGATCATCGCTGGACACCGCTGGTTTTAGGTCAGTCGGTCACCAAAGGAAGAAGGAAATCTCACTGGATTTCTAGAAAAAAAAAGGGAAACACAAAAAAATAAAAAATTTATAAGAAACAATTTTTTTTAAAAATTGGATTAAATATGAAAGTATTTTGGCAATATGGGTTGGGTCAAGTGTGGGTTGGATATGGGTCAAGAAATTTGCATTGCAATTAAAAGGTCATAAACAGGTTATGTGGATCAATTTGGGTCGGACCATTTATGACCCAACCCAACCCACTAGTTTGGACAGGTCTACTTAGTGGTAACAACCATGGTTAACATATCTACTGAATTCTTCACACCAAGAATCTTCGTTAGTGACAATGTTCCATCATCTATTAGCTAATAAATATGATGATACTTCAACTCAATGTACTTTGTTATTGAGTGAAATACTTAATTCTTTGCAAGATAAGTAGCACTTTCACTATCACTAAAAAGAACATAAATGAAACATATATGTTAAGCAGACCATGAAAATTTTTAGCCTATGTCCCAAACGTTGAGTATTTTCCATCAATTGAATGAGATTGGTCCAATTCTTTACCAAATCAAAATTGCTAAGGGTGCGACTGACAATCATTATATTCCATAAATCAATTTCTGGCTAGAAATAGATTTTTCTATTTCTATTCTCTGGACGAGTTTCTCAGCAAAAATGAGTGTTTGATAACGACATAAAATTTCTATTTTCGAAATAAAAATTCGTTCGACAACGACACAAAATTTCTTCCTTCCGGGCGACCGGTGGAGGACGGCGAGTGGCGGAGGACGGTGGTCGGTGACAAGAGGCGGCCAGTGGTGGCCGGCGGCAAGTGGCCGGCAGCATCGAGCGGCAGAGGACTGTGGTCGGCAATAAGAGGTAGCCGGCGGTGGAGCACGGCCGCCGCTAGTGGAGGACGGCAGCGAAGGACGATGGCCAACAATGGACGGCGACGGTCGGCGCCGGGCGGTGGAGCACGGCAGCCGGCGGCAGGTGGCCATCGGCATCAAGCAGTGGAGGACAGTGGCCGGCGGTAAGAGGCGGCCGATGGTGGAGCACGGCAGCTGATGGCGGAGGACGGCAGTGGATGACGGTTGTCGGTGGCCAGCGTTGGGCGGTGGACGGCGGTGGCCGGCCTGACGGTGGACGGCGGCGGCCGGCATCAGGCAATGGGCACAATGGCCGGCTGTGGGTGGCCGCCGGCGTAGAGTGGCCCCCGGCATCCGGCGGCAAGAGGCGGCCAGCAGTGGAGCACGGCGGCCGGTGGCGGTAGAGGACGGTGGCTGGCGGTGGGTGGCCGGCGGCGTTGGGTTGCCACCACCGTTGGGCAGCGGAGGACGGTGGCCGGCAGTGGACGGCAACCAATAGATGGTGACGAAGGAAGGCGGGAGGCGACAGCGGGTGGGTGGCAGCCGGCGTTGGGCGACGGCGAATGGCGGAGGATGGCAGTGAGAGGAGGTGGTCGGCGAAGGACGGCAGCAGGAGGCGACCGGTGGCTAACGGCGAGAGGTGGCTGACGGCGGGAGGCGACCGGCGGCAATAGCGAGCGACGAGTGGGTGGCCGATTAGTAGTGAGGGCGAGCGATGATAACAGTTTATTTCTCATTTTTGTTCCATCAATAGAAAAGTAGATTTTTTTTACTTCTGATTTCTGTTCCAAACCTATTTCTGAAGTAGAAATTTGTTCCAGAAATAGAAAAATAAAATTGCGTTATCAAACCGATTTCTGTTCCAATCCTATTCACAGGAACAGAAAAATAGAAAAACAGAGAAACATAATGGTTATTATTCGCGCACTAACAAAATGGAAAAATGGCTATTATTACAATAAAACCATCACATTAAAATTCGACCGTTCCCGTTTTGTTTAGATGAATGTTGATTTTTGTTTTTAAAATTTTTTTTAAGGGTAACAGTTATATTGGAAACATGAATTCATGTTACATGATCTTTCATATTTTAGGCTTTGCAATTTCTCTATTGTTTGTAATTTTAGTTAGTCACCATATAATTAACTATTAATTGTGAAATCTTCCGATGTCATGTGGATCAATCATATTTCTACATATCTGTTAGAACAGAACTTCAGTAAGGAATGAAAGAAATAATTTTTTTGACTTTTTCTTATTAGGAAATTAATTAATTTCTCGCAATTTTAAATATAATTAATTAATTAATCTCTTTTACTTTTACATCATGCTTCCATTTATTAAATAAAAAGTTGTGATGATAAAGCAAAATACTTACGAGCGTTTTACATGTGACATGAGTCAATAGATCATTTACGTAAAAGTTGAGAACATAAAGGATTATGACACGGGATGACCATTCAAACCTATTCTTGCAGCCTTTCTCATAATATAAAGATATTAGACATTAATTTAAGAAGTCGTGTTCTGTTTCTAAGTTTGAATACTTTGCGGAACGTAATCAAAATAACAATAAGCACTTTCATCGCCAATTACATTATAGATAAGTGAAGCTAATACCTTCATATAATCTCCCCTGGGTGTGATTAGACAATAGGCAGTATCAATGGAAGACCTTACGTGAGAAGGGAATGAGGGGGAAGATATTGTCATCTTACTACACAAAGTTCAACTACTCAAGGATTAAAGTTTAGAATCTAAGGTTCTAGAGGCATGTACCTCTCTTAATTGACATTGCAAGGCTCGACGTTTATCGCTATCTCAAGCCACCCTTCGTCCACACGATTAGGAAATCCTTGTTCTTGAGATGGTGTGCCCTGCTCATTGGTTAAAACGTCATTGATTTGGATGGAGTCACTTGACGGGCTCGGGGGGAAGTTAGTGTTTTCTAAAGTTTCAACTGCTACAATCTCATTGCCACCATCGTCCATACTTCTATCTTTAAATCTGCCTTTCCTTAAAGTATGGGAATTGAGGTCTCTTTGGTAAAATCTTCTTCCCAATAAAACAATTTTCCCCCACAATGAACCTGAAGAACTTGTTACTTCACGCCAATTTCTTTTGATGAACGTGACCATGAAAATGAGGAGAGCTAAGACTGCAACAACTCCAACAATCAAGAATAAAGCCCAGAAACTGTCAAGACCCAAGCTGTTGGAAGAAACCGAGGAAATAGAATTCAGGCAGTTGGTTTTTGGTGTAAACCACGCGTTTTCAATTTCCGTCATTGTAGGCCCTTCAGTTACATTGAGGATTGCTCGCGAAATATCCGTAACTAGTGGAGACCCTTTGGGGAAAACCTGTAAACAAAAAGAAGCATGACATTTGATTTTTAATCAAAGAAATAACTACTAATCCTAGTAATTGAAAAGTTTGAGGGTTTTCTCTTTTGGCTAGAAAGGAGGGATTGAGAACTTACGAAGCCAAATCCAGCAGTTTTAAATGCCGGGATCATTGTATATTTGTTGCAATATTGAGAAAGAACTAGTTTCATGTAGGGGACTTGGTCGAATGCCGCTGCGATCCCGCCCTTTGCGCTTCCATTGGAAAGAAGCGCATCGCATTCTCTAGGAGAGTGATACAATATAAGTCTGGAATCATCGAACTTCATTTGCTTTAGCATTCCATAAACGAAAGAGCCATATTTGTATCCCACCTTTTCTCCACTCTTTAGGAGCTGATCCACATCAGTCACAGTTGGTTGAAGATTTTTCACCACCAAAAAAGAGCTCAAGCTTGCGGTATAACTTTGTGTAAGTATAAGTACCACGAAAACCCACACGATCACAACAAATCTCGCTAGGTTGCTAAGTACTCTCTCTCCTGCAATCCAAATTAACAGTAAGCAAATTAATTCTCGGACAATGATATGTAAGTTGTAATGTTCAATTGATCTATTAAAGTGAAGGGCAAGTACTTTGTGCAAAGATCATGGTTGAAAAGGAAAACCAAAAGCTCGTGCCAACTTGATGCACGGCCGGACCCCTGAAATCTTCGTTAATCTGATGTTCAAGAATCCACACGACCAATGCTATAAACGCAAAGAAGCATCCTGTTGTTAACCAAAGGTCCCAAGTGAGTGGCTTCAAGAAAACCCAAGCATTCTTGCTCTTGTTGTCCTTGTATGGCACGACCATCACACCCCCCGTTGCGGAGTATGGTAAGGTGAAATCCACATACAATGATCTGTTCGCAATGATCGTTGTATCACCCACCACTGCATCATAATTCTGTTCCAAAGAAAGGAAGGGAAATGTTTTCTTTGTCGACCACATAATAGCATAGCAAGTTTCAACATGTAATCCAACGAAATCAAACACTTGCAATGAGTTATCTCACCTGGTAAAATACTTGATCGATCATGTCATTATAACTGCCAGCGCTACTTCCATTAGGCAAGGCAAATGGAATAAGGTCGTAAGCCACAACATAAGGCAATTTTTCTATCACGGCTTGAAAGATGTCGATACAATATCCGGTGACTTGGGATGTATTTGTGCTTGGATCCCGAGTCACCTTCACGAATTGATTGAAACCGTCCTTCACGGGAACTAAGATTTTCAACCTCTTCCCAGTCGTGGGAATCTCCCAACCCTTAGGAACAGAGGTCGAATCTCCTGGCCACAATACTGATTTGAGATTACTGTTAGAAGCGGAATATTTGCTTGCGTGCAATGACTTCAAATCTCTTAGCAGCCCATTTTCTAGAGTCCAAAACCCGATCCCTCTTGCTGCATTTCCATTGATATTAACAATCTGGAACGCTGATGACTTTAACTGCCCATCGACGAGGCTAAAATTTCCAGCGAGGCCTGTGAAATTCGTATTGGCTAGTTCTTGGAGAAGTTCCTTACCATTTTGAGAGATCCCAATAGTGTCGAGATCCGTTGCATCTGTTGAAGCATTCATCTGGAATGTAAAATTTGCTGCACCCATTTTCTCAACAACCATTGCCAGAGCCCAAGCATTGTCATAAGCCCAATATCCAAAAATATTCAACGTAGGATTAAGGACGGATGGGTTGTCTTGTTGGAATTTTATCTTCCATCGGACCGTGAAGTTGTCCAAGTTTTGCGTGTCTGGGACATAAGTCTTGATGCCCAGTACTCCTTGCATTGAACTAGCGACAACAGATGAATCCACCAAATTCAATTGGTCGGTTATTCCATTAGTCAAGATCCACACATAACCTTTGCTCATCATTCCTACCTCTTTTGCTTTGGCAAATAGCCGAGAACCAAGGGTAGGTGACATATGCACAATGAAGACCCTAGTTTGCATCGTCATTAACTTGTAGAGTTCCAGTAGGATTTGATTGTCCGTGGCCGAAGGAGGAATAAGGCTCCTATAGGGCACTCGCGTGTCGATCTCTTCCAAAGCATCGATAAGGAAAGGTATGACGCCTTCTCCGAACTCGTTGTCCACATATATGAGGACTGCTTCTTTCCAGCAAAAAGCTTGCACAACTGCGCTTATGGCCTTCACTTGGGACGAGTCATTTTGCACAGCTCGAATGAAGTATGGTCTTCGAATAGTACTGAGGGAAGGACTAGTAGCAGAAAAAGAGATGATGGGCACATGAGATTTCTTTCCAAGGTGAATGAGGAAGTCTGTTTGCACTGAACTTTGAGGGCCTATTATGGCTTGGACGTGTTTGTTCTTTATCAGATCAAGTGCTGCACGGGTGGGTGAACCAAAAAAGACGGTGAAACAATAACAATATAATAATATAAATTCTTATTGGAAAAGGCATAGTACTGATCAGAAGTCAATTAAAACTTGATGCATATTATAAAAATAGAAATGTTTAAGAAAAAGGAAACATAGGAGTTTGAAGTTGGGAAAGAACTCGCACTTGATATTATTTAAACAATATGTGTCTACTAATTATAAAAACTTTTCCATTTTCTCCGTTTATGAAGTTTTGAAAGTACCACTGAAGTTTTTTTCGTTATCACTAGACTCCTAATTCAATATGTCCTTACGATGATAAAATGTAAATTACTCCAACATGGGTAAGTGAAACCTCTTATTTTCAAGTATATATGAAATTGTACTCACGAAACATAGTCGAACACTCCCATTTGGATTTTAACGTAATTTCAGACACGATACACAATTGTGTTCGAATAAAATATTTATTAATGTCGAGGAAGCGCACTTTAATTAAGTAAACTGCAGATCCATGAAATTATTTGTACTATGTGGAGGGAATCGATGCCCGTCCATTTTTGACCGACTGAAACCAACCCATGTCGAAGATTTAATTTTAGTAACCATAGTGCAGGCATTTGGTTGTCGCCTTTGATGTTGTTTGGCATATGATATTGCAAACCAAGCAGAAACTAATTCTTTCGGCAAAAGTAATATTAAGAACAAAACAAAAGAGGATAAATTGGCCGAGACACGATCAAGTTGATTCTTCTTCATCGTTAAGTTGACCTCTTTATCTCATGCCATTTGAATATTCCACTCTAGAATCCAAGCCCCATATTCCAATTCTATGGATTTTATGAGGTCAGACATTTGTGATGTTATATTATATGTCAAGCCTCTCAACATCCATATTAAACTCCTTTCATGTATTGACAATTATTTGGTTGAACTTCAAACCTAAGTTGTTTATTTGACCATTAATAGCACACAGTTTCCTGGAAATAATTAACCACTTACTCAACTCGACAACAGATCGTTATACATGAAGTTTGGCTCAACTAGAAAAAAAAAATCAGTATAATTATGTAGAGATATGTTTTTTTTTTTTTTTATAATCGAGGTGTCCGCGCGGCCGGCGAGTTAGGGCTCAAACCAGCGGTGATGCCCGACTAGTCCTCGAGGGGGGCTAGCGCAGCATCCCACCGCCACGACCCCCCACTTAAATCACCGATGGGCGAGTTTTGAACCCAGGACCTTTCGTGAAAGGAACTGAGCGCAAACTAACGCGGCCACCGATGGGTGGGTTAGAGATATGTTTTATGTACATATTTCCATAGAAGAATTTGAAGTTGTCTTTATCAACCATCTCCGCAGACATGACTATCTTTCTAACCTGAAAAGCACGATAAGATTAGGCACTTTTTCCGAAACTGTAGCTATATAGCATGTGTCCTTTTCGAGACGATCTCTACATGTAGACATAATTTTATAAATTTTTAATACATTTACAGCGGGAAAAAGTCACAGGAGAGCTTTATACTCTTCAAGAATAGAACAAATAATAGTGGTCCTATACATCCAAGATCATAAACAAGAATCCCGTTCACAGGTCTTTACGAGATGAAACTTTGCATCCACAAATTTATGTACATATGTTTATTTTGGTGCAATATGAGAAGATAGACAAGGTGGACTTTTCTCTGTTGAATCTTTAAGTATCAACTTTATGTTATCTTGGATTCTATTATAAGATGATAAGGACATCATTGTCGCAATGATAAAAGACACTTTGAAAGTAGTGCACTCAATGACTTTGAAAAGGGAAAAAAAAGTTCCGCCTGTTTAAATGAAGTATATATACAGGAAGGTGGCTAGGGAAAATTGTCCAAAATATCATAAACTTATTGCACTTTTACCAATTCAATTCTAAACTTTTTAATTGTACCAATTGATTCATAAACCTTTTTACCTTTTGCCAATTGAGTCCATCTGGCCAAAATTGGCTAGAAATCGCTGACATAGATGCCGGTCATCCAACATAGCACGATCGGCGCTGACGTGGATAATTTAAATTTTTTTTCCTTTTCTCTTCTTTTTTTTTTTCTCTTTCCCTCCGCCAGCCATCGCCAGGCCTCATCGATGGCCGGCAGAGGTCGTCGGCCTTAGGTGAGGGCCGCCCTCACTGGATCTAGTAAGGGCAGCCCTTGCCAGGGGTCGGCAAGGGCTACCCTCGCAAGCCTAGGCAAGAGTAACCCTTGCCGGCCTTGGGTGAGAAAAGGAAAAAAGAAAAAAGAAAAGAAAAGGAAGAAAAGAAGATAAAGGGAAAAAAAGAGAGAAAAAAGTAAAGAAGGAAAAGAGAAAAAAGAAAAAAAAGGGAAAAATAGAAAATTTAAAAAAAAATTCCAAAAAGTTATTAAAATATTATTAATAATTTTTCACGTCAACATCAGCCATGCCAAGTAGGACTGTTGGTGTCCACGTCAGCGATTTTGGCCGGAGGACTGAATTGGCAAAACGTGTAAAGGTTTAAGACTCAATTGGCATAATTAAAAGGTTTTGAACTGAATTGACAAAAGTTCAATAAGTTTAGGACATTTTGGACAATTTTTCTAAAGGCAGCTAAGACACTGAGTAGACAATTCTTGAGGATGATCTCTTTCTTTTTTGGTAAACTTAACCTTGGTCGTTCCTTCATGGAGCTTTGGAAAATGGTGCTTGGACAATCTCTGCTGCGAGAATGCATATTGCTTTGAATGGAACACACATTATGTCGTTGAAAACTCAACTGGGGATTCATTTCACATATCAAATATATAGAAGCTGAAGTTTTCATATGATTGCCAATTGCGTCGTTACGAACAACAGTTTTTTTTTTTTTTTTTTGCATCACACAAACAGATGCATAAACTAGTTTAAAGTAGTTTATGCTACTCCGCAACATGTGTATTAACCCAAAACCAAACCCCTTCAAAGTTCAAGCAGAGATTTATTCCCAAAAAATTCAGTAAAAAAAAAAAAGATTAACCAAAATAATCTTCAACACGATCAACAGAAGTACAAAAATGTTAACCCAAAGCCTGGTGTCATCATACATTTCTGGTCAAGCATCGTGACCAGTCAGCATGTTAGAGAGAGAGAGAGAGAGAGAGAGAGAGAGAGAGAGCGAACCTGCAGCAGCAGCGGTAACCTCATCTCTTTTGGAGTCTCTAACGTTGAGGACGAGCCTGGTCTTGTACGAAGGGTTTGAACTATATAAGTCAGAGAGAGACATGTTAATGCAGCTCAATCCCATTTGACCCACCCACGTCTCCAGATCAAGAACCACCCCAACGTTCACTGGAATCATTGTGGCGTTGTTGTTGTTACTGCTTTGTGCCACCGCTAGGTGAGTGCCGTCACTGGAGGTCACGACGGTCACGAAAGAGAAGAGAGCCAAAAAGAGGAGCTTTTCAGCATGGAACGAGATACTTGGAGGAATCATTGAAACGGGTTTTGCAAAAAGGCTAGTGAGAGAGAGAGAGAGAGAGAGAGAGAGAGAGAGAGAGTTGGAGGATTTGATGATGAGGACGATGTATTTATAATGGAGAAGAGCTTTGAAAAAGTAAGACAAATCATGGAATGCTTATATTGAAGGATTGCTGGGCATGGGCATGACTTCCAGTGGTACCGATAGTTCATGGTTTTTTCTTATTTCTTCGATACTCCTATTGTCTTTCGTAGAAAGTTCATATAGCCTTGTCTATTCTTCAGTAAGCCCAAACATCTATCTCCTTCATTGACTACGCAGAGGAATCAAAATAGCTATGTTTGAAAGGTATTCATAGTTGGCTCCGGTCATGCTAAAGTTAGAACAAGTTGTTTACTCAATATTGTTAATTTTCTCATTCCCCTTCTCTTAATATTGTCCAACAACCTTCTGCGACCCAATCATTCATGTATTGCATAAAAAATTAGGGATCAATCCCTATCCATAAACAAAAATATTATTTGAAATGGCATATAGATATTAGGAGTATTTGCATATTTTTCAAACCGGTGGTGGGTGGACTTAACCGAAAGGTTCTAAACTTAATTGATAAATAGGATTGAGCCCACGGGAGCATGTAATTTTGGCTGAGCCCATTGTTTCTCTCTCGTGTCCGAAATTTGCACAACAATAAAGCCAAGTTGGAATAATGGAATTAGTAAATAGCATTACTTGGGGGTAATTCAGATTGTTTGGAAATTCAATTAGCGGAAATAATCAGAAAATCGTCTAAGTTGAATGTGAGAAATATGAAATAAAAACCCTAGGTTTGCTCTATATAAAGGCTTGTGATCACAATTGAAAGTGGAGTGGCTTCACAATTGAATACACGGCCACAAGAAAGCCAGAGAAAAGAGAGGAGAAAGTCGTGAGGTGTGAGGTTGGCTCATTGAAAATCGGCAGAGAGAGAGAGAGAGAGAGAGAGAGAGAGAGAACGACCATATAGAGAGAAAAAGAAAAAGAAAATCGTGAGAAGGGTTCTTGGGAAGGCAGCCACACTGGGAGACATACAAAAAAGAGATGAGGCTTTTTCTCTGGAATTTTTTCACGCTTCGACCAGGAGGAGACGAAGAATAGTTTTTGTTCTCTTTTTCTGCAGGTCAACGGACACACACAAAGGAGCTTGATACATAAAGACAGGAAGCAGCGATTTTTGGCTCGGTCTGTCCAGTCCTTGCCGTCACATTTTGGCGTCTGCCCCAGTCACGCCCAGATCAGCAAAGTCGGTATCTCCGTGGGTTCTTGTCTCTGCGCCAAACCACTCCTTGACCGACGAATTTCGACGGGTTCCTAGTTACCGGTCAACACACGAGCGACGCAGCAATGGCGGTCCAGTTGTTTTCCAGCTCGGTGTCCTCTGAGTAAAGCTACCGCATCCCTTGGTGTCGCTGCAAACGTCCTGTGGAAAAGACTCACTTGCTGATATCGTTTCCCCACTATGCCGAGCCAGCTTGACGTCAAAGTCGAGTGATCCAGTCCATGGTTACATCCGCAAGGCCATCACCAAACCATGACCTCCCAGCCGAGATTCGAGCAGCACCAACCGAGCATCACCGGCAGTCATCCTTGGCCAAGTGTCCCATCGACGGTCCCTTGCCATGCTGTGAAGCCATCACTGCTTGAGTCTCCGCTGTGCCCTCACCGTCGGCCACTTGATGCGATTCATCGTTGGTCGAGCTCGATTTGGAAACATTATCTGCATAATATTTCAAATTAGGTATTGAATATTTTCCAATTCAAATTTCTGATATTATTGCCTAATTTCGAATTATCCTTATCTAATCTCGAATATTCGGGCAATATTGCATCTCCTAAATTTATCGAGAGAATGATTTAAATTAGGAATTTTTCCTAATAGATCACGTGCGTATGGGCGGCAATCCGATCTCAATCCCGAGATTCCCGTCCGCACGGAAAATCGGTCATCCTATTCTTAATCCTTTGGATACAATTGTCAGTTTTATTTGTTTTCAAATTTGAATGAACGGAATATTCAATGATTTTCTTTTATGGATTGGGTGGATATTATATTGCAATGAGTTCTTATCCTTGGCTTAACTGTTTCCACAAAAAAATATACAAAAAAAAAATTCATTATAGATTAGATCGCATTCGTTGATAACCTTGCATGTTTAGAGATCATCTTAGGTTAGAATCTTGCTAGATAGAATTTTAGAGATCATCTTAGGTTAGAATCTTGCTAGATAGAATTTCCTTGTTAGGTTAGGATAATTTGGATCGATTGCATTTCTTGGAATTGATTCTAGAAGATTAGGATAAATTTCTGATTTAAATTAGGATTCAAATAATTGTATCCAAAGGGTTATGAATAAATTTCCTTGTTTACACTCACGCTATATTCAAATTTCCATTTCATAACATACATCACTCGCATATGTCCTATTTTTGTTCCACATCATTACACTAGTCATTCACTCAAGTCGCATTTTCGTGTCATAATGCATGCCATTCGCACATGTCATAATTTGATTCAAATCTCATTACGCATGGATTCACTCATGTCATTTTCTTTGTAATCACACATACGAAGAATGAGAACAGGATTTAACGTAGTTCAGTCGACCAAGGAAAGAACCCTTGGAAGCCTACGTCCATGATGAGAAACCACCAATTCATCATATCACCTTGGGGAGATTTTATTATCTTTAAATAAGATAGAATACATCTATGGGGATAAACATCAATATCTATTAGAAAGGCAAATATAGTTGTTATTTCCTTCTTTATAGATTTGAGTCAAATCTCCTACTAAATTTGTACTTTGCTGACTAATCGTTCTTATCTTTCCAACACTCTCCCACCAAGCTAGGGAGAAGATGTCATAGTGGTCAGCTTGGTCATCGCACGTTGGAACGCTTTCATGAAAAATGCCTTAGTAAATATGTCAGCTAATTGATCTTCACTTCTGGTGTATGGAGTCTCAATTGTCTTGTCTTGAACTTTCTCACGGATATAGTGAAGTTAACCTTCATGTGCTTAGTCCTTTCATAAAAGACCGGATATGAAGCAATATGAATTACTGCGTGATGATCGTAGAACAATTTTATAGGAGTTTGAAGCTTATTAAGACCCAAATCCTACAACAATAATCGAAGCCAAAATAATTCACATGTGGTTGAAGCCATGGCTTGTACTCAGCTTTTGCACTTGATCTAGCTAACACACTTTGCTTTTTGCTCTTCCAATGATCGGGTTTCTTCCTACAAAGGCGTAGAACCCCGTCGTTAATCATTTCCAACCCAATCTGCATCAGCATAACCTTCAGTATCTGTGTGACGACGATTCTTCATAAGAATGCCACATCCAGGGCTTGACTTTAGATATCGCAATATACAGTCCACCAACTCCATGTGACCTTCAGTAGGATTATGCATGAATTGGTCTAATTTAATTAACGGCATATCTGATATCAAGTCTTGTGATAGTCAAATAAATCAACCGACTCACCAATCTTTGCAACATTCCACTATCTTTGAGAGGAGTGGTGTTGGTGGTAAACATACTGCCATAATCCATAGGTGACTCTACGGGTTTAGCTCCTAATTTTCCAGTTTCCTTCAACAAGTCTAAAGCATATATTTTTCTCTAGGAGAGAACAATCCTTTGCTTGAACTAGCAATTTCAATTCCAAGAAAGTAATGAAACCTCCCCAAGTCTTTGATGTTAAACTTTTCATTCAAGTATTTGTAGAGAGAATGATTTGACTCACCAGTTTTGAAGCCAAAATTCACAAGAGTAGTACTGAGCTTGCCATAACAAGATCGTGAAGATTGCTTGAGACCATAAATTGCTTTATTTAATTTTCACACAAATCACTGTCCTTCCAAGTAATGTCCTAGGGGAAGGTCCATGTGCACTTCCTCTTCAAGGTCACCTTGTAAGAAGGCGTTCTTAACACCTATTTGAAAAAGTGACCATCTGTAATTAACTACAATTAATATGATAACACTAACTGTGTTCATCTTCACTACAGGAGCAAATGCTTCTTTGTAATCCACCCCAAAAGTTTATACTATTGTCACAACTCTTGCTTTGTGCCTCTTAGTAGATCCATCCATTTTGTATTTGATCTTGTAAATCTAACGACAACCAACAGGTGGTTTCTTAGATTACGATGGAACTATATCCCAAGTGCGGTTTTTGTCTAGAGCATGTAGTTTCTCATCCATGGCTTGCTTCCATATAGTTGACCTTTGTGCCTCAAGAAAGCTTGTTGGTTCTTTGTCCTTATCAATAGCAATCAAAAGAACACTGAACTCAAGTAAAATATTTTCATAAGAGATTAATGCTTGTATAGAATAAGGAGTAGATAAATGATATGTTGATAAGTCATAAAGCCGAGTTGATGGCTGAGAAATTCTAGTTGACCGATGAACTAGAACCAAGTGTAGCGAGATCACTTTTAGAAGCAAGCAAGTATAACCAAGCGCAGCAAGATTTATCATCAATAAACGTAACAAAAAATTTAAATCCATCACGGAAGTCAACAGGAGGAGCTCCACAAACATCTGAATGAATTAATTCAAACAACTCTAAAGATGGACTGGTTCTAGAGCAGAGAGACAATCTGTGTTGTTTAGCATAACGACAAATCTCACAAGAACTAGTATCAAGAGTAAAGGTAGAATCAAGGGTTAATACCACACAGAACCTCAAACTGGTACACCTGTGATAAATTTACCCTAAAATAATTTTTTGACCACAAAAAATCTCAAATTGATATATTTGTGACAAATTTACTCTCCGTTAAATTGGACTAATAAAAAAAATCACAAACTAGTACGCCCGTGACAAATAAAAGGTAAAACCTCAAATTGATACATCCGTCAACTGCCACATATTATTTAACTAAGCAATTTGATAGTAAAATTTAACAGAAACTAACGGAGGGTAAATTTGTCACAAGTTTACCAGTTTGGGGCCTTTAGTGGTCAAAAAATTAGTTTGGGATAAATTTGTTATAGATTTACTAGTTTGAGGTTTT